TTTTTTTTTATCGGCTGCAGCCTTACTCTCTTATTAATTAGTCCACATGCCAAACAAAATGCAATGCTGGCAGCAAACCAGCACATCGATCATGAGGGCGGACATTACCGTCTTCCCCCAAACATAACGCATATGTGGTGTACATGAATGAAGTGCATCAAATGCAACACGTACGAGTTCTATTCGGATGGCTGGTATATTCGAATACAAAGCACATGGTTATAGTTGAATTATCGATTTTTTTTTGAAAAATCGAATAGAACACATACGCGTTATGTTCAGGGGAAGACGGTAAGCTTTGAACGACTCCATCGTCAAGTCCATCCTGACCATGATGTCATATACCAAATCTTGGACTACGTACTTTGCACCATCTGCGTCGATGGCATTGCAATATTTGGGTACCTAGGAAGAGGAATCCGCAATCGACAATACGCGACATCCTCGTCTTTTCCAACTCTGCCACACCATCTCAAGCTGGCCCAGGCCCGTTGATATGGTTCCCTACAGACCATTTTCGAACAGTCCATCGAGAAAAATCAACGGCCTTCCTGTGAGCGGGTCACGCAGACAAAAGGAACAATTCATCCACCAGGTAGCCTGGAAAATAGCAGCCTTTTTTTAATAAAAAAAAAAGAAAAAAAAAGAAAATAGAAGCCCAATCCAAACAACAGAAGGGATTCGGAAAAAAAAAAAAAAAAAAAGGGACTCGATCCGTGGTCCATCGGACCAAAAACAAAAAAAAAGGGGTATTGGGCATCCTTGATCCAGTACGCCAAATACAGGTCTTACAAAACAAATGGGTGGTGCAGTGCCCCCCCCCCCCCCCCCCCCGGTTAGGCGCCTACGGAATGTATACAAGCTAATTTCCAGTCCGATAACAGTCAAAATGAGGGGAAGACAGTAGGCCTGTGGGGGCAAGGTAGGCCTCTTCTCTCTCGTCTATTCTATTCCCTGCTTGTTGCTTGCCGATGATAAGCAGCCGTATTGCTGTCCCCCGGAATAGCTGAGCCCTTCATTTTGAAAGGGGACAAAGAAAAGGAGACGACTCAGACGGGCCCTTTGTTTTTTGTTATAAAAAAGAAAAAAGAAAAAAGAAACTCACCTTCCGACAAGACCTACGGTCACCTACCCATAGACTCAATTGGTGCTTAGACAAATAAGAAAACTAGCCCCCTTTGTATCGCCCAAGGACAGTGAAGGACTTTTCACAAGTTCTTGGGCTATATAACCCCCGAAGGCCCAGTGCAAGGCACTCGCCAAGGGAGAACGAACTCACCAGGAGGGAGACGAAGGAGACGAGCAGGAGCGCAGATGTTTGGTGGGCCTAAATCCTCTATCGGAGAAAGATAGTTTCCCTGATCAGAGTAGTTCCTAAGGGTCGTAGTGAGGTCCTGAAACGACCCCTTTTGTCATAACTCGTGCATAATCAATGAGGAGAACAAACCTTTATGGCCATAATTTTAACTTCTTGAAGTTAGCAATTTCTGGCGAGCTGACATTTCGGTAAAACTGACATTTTGAAATGAAGTGGACTTATCAAAATTTCATTGCTCATTGGGTGAGAAAGTGGTTATCTCACTCTGACAATCCGATGTATCTCAACGTAAAGTACTGTCAAAATACATCCAAGGGTGGTCCGATCATCGGGCTTCGTTACGAAGCCCGACCATCAGATGGTCTTACATCATGGAGACAAAAAAAGGATAAAAAATACTGTTTTTTTCGTACGCCCAATTTCGTGAATTTAGAAAAAAATGTCAGTTCTGGGGTGGATACCACGACCGGCATGGATCCACTTTTGTACACTGTGCCATGGCTGTAGTGGTTAAGAGACTCGGCTCTTGAGGCTGAGGGCGCCGGTTCGATTCCGTGCGTGCACGGAGGAGGTCCTGTGGCTGATAAAGTGCAAACTGTACTCTAACCGGGTAACCAGCCCGGAAATTATACCTGGAGTTCGAATCCGTGCGTGCACGGAGGAGGTCCTGTGGCTGATAAAGTGCAAACTCTACTGTTTTAACGAAATGTCAGTTCGGGGACAAAATAAAAAGGAAGACACACAAGAACTCCAAAGTGTCTATAGCCATTCTCAAAAGTCAGTTGCAAAAGGTAAGAGTAGTTGAGACAGACGAATTCACAGTTTTCTGTCCAAATACTCCACTGGAAGATCTGGAAAGTAGACCCCGGGGAATGGGCATGGATGATCAGAAGTGGCTCTATGGGAACAGAAAGGAGAATTAATATTCTGCATTACACCACTAGGATAGGATATAGGTTGAGACGAAGATCCTTTTCTCTTACGCCTCATCTATTGAAGAGGTGGGAAAAGAGGGTGGGGATACCCCTAAAAAAAATTTAAAAAAAATATATATATATATAATAATAATAATAATAATAATAATAATAATAATTAAAAAAAAAGAAAAAAAAAAGGGTGGGTATACCCCAGGGACAACTATCTACGTTCCCTTGGCAGGCGATTAACGCAGTTAGATTGGGAAACGTCAGGACTCAGAAGTATGCAATGGCTAATAGCCCATGTGGCTCTGCCAGTCAATGAATGGTTAAATGAGCGAAGGAGACGGTGAAGGAGGGATCCAGCGAATGCAGAGTGTAGAGTGTGTCAGGGTGGCATGTCAGAATCAATGCAGCATTGCCTGTTGGAATGTACACAGGAGCAGACATCATTTGGGAAGAAGCCAGGAGTATATGGGGTCACATCTCCAAGACTCCATGGTTAGACAATAAAATCGCACTCTTGTTGGGGGTCCACAACCCGACGCAGTGGAAGTCGTTCGAGAAGAGTATGTTTCAATTGATACGACAATATAGCCTGTGGACCATTTGGAAGAAAGGTGTCAAATTACTATTGAAGGGAGTACAATGCACATACAGGAAGCAAGGGTGATATTATGGGCTTTAAAAAAATAAAAATAAAAAATAAAAAAGAAGAAGGAAGACACACAAATGATTTTTCACGAAGAATAAAATTCAATAAACACCTCCCACCTAGGAAGCAAGGGTACCTCACCAATAACGGAGGGGGTACGGGGGGGTGGTCAGGTAAGACTTTAGAAAGGGTCGCTTGACCTCTTTGCAGCAAATGATAAAGGGCCTCGCTGCACTACTCTAGACTCTCGAATTTTCGAGAGTGGGACGTCGCTGCACTTGCTCTCGATCGGAAACTCTCGAAACCCGATCGAGAGCTGTCAGCAGGCACTCTATATCGCCACTCTATAGAAAACAGCAAGATATGATTAACACATCATTGATTCTAATAGAAAATAGACAACAATCTTTTTTTTTTTCTATTTCTATACCATAGACTCTATKATTCTAGAAAAACAAGAAAAATCATTCTCAAATAATCAAATCAATACAAATAGAAAAAGAATTTCTTGAAACGTCGAGAGTAGCCCGCCTGCAAAACACGAATTTACAAGTGTCCTCGGGAGTTGCCCGCCGACCGGCTCGTTTTTCGAGAGTGGACCTCCTGTCCCGGCGGCCAGACTTTGTCCCGTAGTGCAGTGGTGCAGCCCTTCAGTCGAGTAGAACGACTCCCAGGGTTTCGGGAATTCATCTAGTGTCATAGGTTCTAGAGTAAGTGCAGCGAAGGCATGCATTTCGAGAGTCTGGCCTCTCTGACAATGCTAGTCGAACCCTCGAAATATTTTGAGAGTCTAGAGTAGTGCAGCGAGGCCCAAAATATATCGCTTCTTGTATAAAAGAAGATCCATCACATCGGTGGATATTAAAAAAAGAAAAAGAAAAAGGCAAAACAGAGGAAACGAAGAACGAATGTGAAAACGAAGAACGAATGTGAAAACGAAGAACGAATGTGAAAACTCACCGAGTTATCTGCTTCAGTGACAGCTCTACCCCACGTCCTTTCCTTCTTCACAGCAGGTGGCTTTTTGTCTTTTCTCATCTTTTTCCTGTTGCTATGCGAATCAGTTTTGTCCTCTCTACTGGAACCTGTGGGACTTCCACTTCCTTCTTGTGACGACTTCTCACTGCCAGATTCTTCTTCCTGTTGCCGGTGAGGAGGAGCACTCTCAGATTCGGTCGTACTTTCTGTGCCTTGAGAGGAGGACTTTTGGGTTGTCCTCCGGGTGCTAGGATCTCTGAAAGTTGCACCTTCATCCACCAGACGACCCGGTTCGCGGCTATCCTCCTTGCCCTCAAGCTCAGCTGCCTCTTTGTTTTCCGCCTTGCGACGACTTTTTCGAGAAGATGCATTGCTACGTCTCGCTGTTCTCTTACCCGAAGTTCTCCCGCTTTGTCCACCTTGGGATGCTGTTCCCTTTCCTCCGCCCCTCTTCCCCTGCTTGACAACCACCCGCCCAGGTGTGGGGGGATTACCGGGAATAGCCCCCTTTGATGGCGTCTTCTGGTCTGCCTTTTGGCTGTCGTCATCGTCAGCGTTGTCAGCATCCTCATCATCCTCATCTGCTGCCCCACCGTCATCACTCTCAACATCACCGTCACCGCCATCATCCTTACTGTCATTGTGATTGCCACCGGCATCAGCCTCAGCAGTTGGGGAGGGATTTATCTCGAGGTTTTCGTGAGGCTCCACCATATCCTGGTTATGTGCCGCGTCGCCATCCCCGCCACCACCTGAGGTTCCACTTTCTCGGTTTGAGCGCGAAGTCTTTGCAGTCGCCCTCTCCTCCTCGTCTGGCGACTTGCTCTGCTGCTGCTGCTGCTGCTCCTCCTCCTTAAGCAGGGCATTGGTGTGGTTGTGGCCGGATGGGAGCGTAGGTTTCACAGGTGCCACACCAGCACCAGGCTTTGAATTGTCGGGTGGGGGCGTAGGTTTCACAGGTGCCACACCAGCACCAGGCTTTGAATTGTCGGGTGGGGGCGTAGGTTTCACAGGTGCCACACCAGCACCAGACTCTGAATTCTGCTGAGCTTGATCGGGACCGGCACGAACATTGCGGACAGCGGCATAGTCTTCGTCCGGGTGGAGAGCCGATTCCGCCAAAAAGACCAACTTGCTTGGCGAGCTTCTCCGCCTCTTGGCCACTGCAGAATGTGGACGGCTGCTTTTCTCGGCAGGCGGCAGCGACTTTGCACTCGACAACGCTTCCAACCCCCACTCTTTATCTGTCCCCACCGCTGCCTGGCGTGCCGAGGAGAACCCAGCGTGAGGCCTCTCTTCAGACGCCTCAGAGGTTTCATTTAAAAGAGCCTCTATCCTGCTACTTCTCGAATTGAGACGGGGCCGATTCAGATCTTGAGGACTGGTTTTCACTGTTCTGTCATGCGAGTTTGATGTACGTTCTGTGACTTGGCGAGATCCTTCAGTAGCCGGCTGGGATTTGGGGGTTACCGTGTTGACGGTAGGGATCCGATTGCTTCCATCGCCTCCCCTCTTGTCCGTGCCATTGCCCAGAGAAGCCATACTTGAGGCATGCAAATCTGCAGCGGGCGAGGACTGCAAATGTACATTCTGCGACTGTGCCATGTCGCGACCAGAAGCAGTCTTGTCGCCCACTGACTCCTCTGCAGGCTTAGCGGAACTCTCCACAGCAGCGGTCTCCTCCTCCACCGATTCCTCTGTCAATTGTTCATCATCTCCAGCCACTGTCCGAGCAGGACTCATACCCACCTGGGAAACATTGCTCATTGACTCCACATCCGACCGCATGCCTGTGCCTTCCCAGTTGCGAGATCCAGCTGGAGAACCACCTGCAGAATCTTGAGCTGAGCTCTTGAAACCGTGAAAAGACGAGTGGAAGGAGGAGCAAACAATGGCGCCAATGCGAAGGGAGGAGGTGTGGGACAGGAAGAAAAAAGAAGAAGGGCGGGGGGGGAGGGGAGACACACACACACGCGCAAGAGAGAGAGAGAGAGAGAGAGAGCGAGAGAGAGAGAGAGAGAGAGAGAGAGAGAGAGAGAGAGAGAGAGAGAGAGAGAGAGAGAGAGAGAGA